GTGTTTGTGTGTCCCCCCGAGAAGAAAATATAAAAATTAGTGTCAGGGATTACTCTACATTGTCTGCTAGGGAACTTATCCTAATTTCCTCTCGGTGATGTTGTATAAAACAGTATAAAAATAATTGTCTCAAATCCTCTCTTCAAAAACAGGACGCCGTAGTAACAAGACATGTCTCGTATACTCTCTGGGAAACTGGGAATCCCCAGATATACCATGTGTCGCATGGCGAAGCACAAGAATTTTCTTTTCTTTGCTTTGTTTATATATATATATATATATATATATGCGTGTCCATTTAGGTCAACACCCAGTGGTGACAGCCTGTTTCATGATTAAATACAATCTTCAAACCAGATGGAGTGAGGATTACGTCTATGCAGGAAGCAGACTGTAGCCGTTCGGTGTTGATATCAATATCTACTTTTATATTTACATACGCTTTTTCATATTGAGCACTGTAACCCATACATATATTATACCTTATGACTATATATATATATATATATATATATATATATATATATATATATATATATATATATATATATATATAAAAGAAAATATGTTGTAGTGGTTCCAACGAGAGAAAAGTATGTATATTAAAAAGAAGAGAGGTGCCGCAAACGTTTTTGGTTGTAATGTGGATTTATTTAGAAAAAATATTATGCTTTGTTTTACATAATTCTAGAAAGAAAATTCGGATTACCAACACACAAACAGAGAATGTCTCATATCGAGAATATTTCACATTGAACATGAAGAAAAATTAATTATTTTTAATAATATGTAGAAATCTCCACTTTTACCTGAAGACGGTCGCGAGACCAGAAACACGTGTCGTAAAATTATGTAAAACAAAGCATAATATTTTTTCTAAATAAATCCACATTACAACCAAAAACGTTTGCGGCACCTCTCTTCTTTTTAATAATATATATATATATATATATGTGTGTGTGTGTGTGTGTGTGTGTGTGTGTGTGTGTGTGTGTTATTTGAAAATTTAATTCCGTTACACTAGAATTTTATTCCGTTATGCTAGAATTTCGAATGCTGATTTCTCAAACAAGCAGGCTAATCCCCACTAAGAGGATGGACGGAACACAATTTTCCTCTGACCCATGTCGTTCGCACTTTCAGGTACATGTGGAATCTGTCTCTCTAACAATATCAGAAACTGCGGGGAATTTATCTCTCGAACGAGTCATCGGTGTTCGAATCTACGTAAAGGTAGTTACATATTATTCAACTTTGTATATTTCTCGATTTATTTAGAGGTCGTCCCAAAATACAAAAGATTAATTTTTAATGACCGAAGATTGTAAGATTTCCTTTATGGACAAGGCAAATAACATCACCACCGTTGGTACACACTTAAAAACACACACATGTATACGCGCGCACACACATAGAATTTTTAATTTTACAAGTACATGAATACTTTTACAAGTACCTGAATGTAGGTGTAAATGATTATCTCGACCTATCCAGGAGCATATTGTAACTAGAACGAATCAAATTTTATATTGGCAAAGTTTTGAGATCACTAGCAGGTTTACTGGATGAGCACGATACCTAACCCTAATACTCATCCTCATAAAATAAACGCGAGAGACATGTGTACAAATATGTACAATTATTAAACGTGAGAAGGCAATGGGCTCCACAAAGAATAGAAAAAAGCAAAGGGTTATAAGGAGTGGCAAATACTTGTCCTACACTTAAAAAAAATCTTGTTTTAACATGGGTTCCCACGAGCAGGGTTAAGATAAAAAGGGCAGAAAATCTTGATTATATATTAATGTCTGGGTAGGACCACCGACTGGTTTGTTAAATAAGAACTATGACGCCTCGGCACGGTTTAATGATTGGAAAGCTAGTCTGTTAGACAATTACTGTCATAACAAGTACGATCCTTACTAAGTAACCAACATTTCAAGCCAATTTTAGTAAACATTTAATAGACTTGACAGTTAAGAGCAAGGATAACGGAATTGATTTCGAATTTAGCTTTGTGTTGCTAATATTTATTTAGCAATAATTCTCTTGGGAAAAGCATGGGTTTAATTCTTTCAGACCACTGTCCTATTACCTGATAACACTGGCATGACATTAACGTTGATAGAGAAAAGACCGAGGAAATCAACAAACAAACTATTATTTACACTATTTATATTCGAACTATTGTCCTCATCTTTGTTGTTGTTATCAAAACGTTTTGTCATTGTGCTGTCCGGCCTTCCTCGGGTGTATATCGATCAGGGTAATCTACAGGGAATTCTGAACTGAACACTTTATTTAATCTACAAGGGTAGATTCTGGTTCCACTGCCCATATCTAGTGATATTGTATAGTTCTCATTTATAGTACTGTCTCCTAATGGACAATGGGTCAGCGTTGGTGCGTGAATTTGGCGACGTTGAGGTTATGAGGTTCAATCCCGAAGTCGAGCAGTGTTTACTTGGACAGTGGAACGATAACAGTTTACTCACGTAAATTAAGTAATGGTTCACTTCAGAATTGCCTGTAGGTTAGTCAGATCAATATACATCTGGGGAAGGCCGGAGGGTACAACGGCCAAAACGTTGTGATAACAACAACAAAGAAGAGGACAATAGTCCGAATATAAATAGTATAAATAATGATAACTCAGACAGAAATTAGAGAAATCACTTTTACTTTAAAACTGTGTTATTAGTTCAGAGAACAGTAGTAAAAAGAAAATACTGTTACCTCTACTGAAAAGGGTTTTAAAAAAGACATAGTTAAATCATTCTGAAGGCACTGCTTTCCAACTGATGACTGAAGGTAAACAGCATCGAACCTAATCAGTATTCAGGTGGGTGATCAGTAACGAATGCCAGGTATTGTAAGTCGATCGCTATTCATCCCAGGACTGTTCATTCCCAGAAGGCACGTGAGATGATTTCAAATGAGTTATTGCCGTTTTCCACCTCGTAAGATAGGAAAGAAGTAAAGAAATGATATATTTCATTGAAATCTGGAATATGGCTTTCTAGCTGGTCGAACAGGAACGGCTCTGAAAGATATTTCTAACAGAAACCGTCACCTCTGCCTAGTAGACCTAAAGAGTTCATTTATGGAATGCAAAGGTATTTTACCCTATTTTTCTTGTTTATTTATATTTTAATAGAAAGAGGGGGGGGAGAGAGATGGGAAATGAAAGGACACTTATACTCAGAACGAGAAAGAGAGAGCTGAAATTTCTAGGACACAATGAGAGAGGTGGGCTTGGAGAATTTAACACTCACAGGGAATATCGAAGGTAAAACGGACAGGAGAAGTCAGCGGGTCAACTACCTGGCGTGCTTGTGTGAAAGGATAGCGGAACGGAGGATGGGAAGGATGGCAAACATTGCTAAGAACGACAACAGATAAGAGGAAGTAGGGAGCCATTATCGCTTACATCCTGAAGGGAAGTGGCACATAGAAAAAGAAGAAATAAAAAAGAATATCACTGGTTTAAACCCATTCTCTTCTCATTCTTTTTCACAGAAGATTTTTGGATTTAAAACTGTGCACGAGGTCCCATACTTTTTACTTATAACTAGGGAAAGACGATTCATGCCTCTCTCAATGCCATTAGTGATCGCTCCTGGACTAGCAATATCTCTGCGATAGCCAAGATGGCGCAGTAGCGACTCTATCTACTGAAGATTCCCAGAAAAAATAATTTATAAAGGTAGCCGCTGACAACTTTCTATCGCTTCTTTATTGAGAGTGTTCTGGCGACGGGCATCACTGTTTGGACAGGATGGCCTTCCAGAGGCATTGCTCAGAAAATAATTGGCTGCTTGCCACCCTCCTTGAAGGCTATTTCTAATTCTCGCTGTCGCAGCAGAGCAGAAAACATAATGAAAGACAGCAGTATCCATGCTAACACTTGTTTGATCTGTTAAATCTCAAGGTGATGTTTTAGATGCATTACTTCTAGGAAAAGTGCTTGAAGGACAGCTTTTATCATTGCGCCCCGTGAAAAATGAACGCTGCTGCACGTTGACGATTTTAAACGTATTTTAACATCATTACTTTTCTTGATTTGATGATGTGCGTGTTTTATCTGTGTTGTATGTGGGTCTCTGTGGGGATATATATATATATATATATATATATATATATATATATATATATATATATATATATATATATGAAGAAATTTTGAAAAAACAAACAAAAATCCTTAAATGTAGTTAAAATGAAAGAAATGTCGACGTCTGACGTTTCGGTTTAATAAACCTTTTCAAGACAATATTCATCAAAATACAATTCAGTTCAATATGACAAATACGATGGACATAAAAACACAAGTCTTATTCAGAACAGATAACTGAAAATTTTAAAAATGATCAGCCTTCCGTCTAACATGGTCACGCTGTCGGATTTATATCCATTTACACTTGCTTATATATATATATATATATATATATATATATGCCACAGTGTAGCTAGACGTCTAGCCACACTGAAGAGCTGTGAATGTGAGTTGTCTGTGGATGACGCTATATGCTCTAGGAAAATCCGTTTAAGTTCTCGAGAGAAAGGAGATGAAAAAAAAACAGCATTTCCTACTGCTATTAATGCATTACTCTTCAAGTACGAATTGAGTTCTCCAGGCCGCTGGCGTATTTCGCATAGAAAAAAACCGTTAAAATTTTCCTTTTTTCTCTGCCGTGCGACGATAGCCTAAGGGGGGGATATCTGACTGATGTAAAAACGGTCGGGTTTCGATCCCGGCTTGAAGTAATCGGACGTCTAGCCACACTGAAGAGCTGCGAAACAGTCTGTCTGTGGATGACACTATATATATATATATATATATATATATATATATATATATATATATATATATTTTTTGTGTGTTTCTGTCCAATTTCATTGAGTATTGCACATTGACAACTAGAAACAACAACAACAATAATAATAATAACAATAACAAGTGGCTGAAGAAGAGCAAGTAAACAATAATACACCGACTG